AGAGAGAGATTTGCTGTGAACAGGAAAAACCACAAATATTTGTACTTTACAAATGGGATGCCCTACGCAACGTCTTCTTGTCTGTTCTTTAATTACTTAAAAACAAACTGTCGGACTGGCCATTGTTTCATGTGATTTGAAACTGTTAGGCGTCTAGGCATAAGTGAAACCTTTCAACAGATTCATCTAGATTTGTGTGCAGCATTAGGCCAAAAAGAATGACAAAGAAATTGCACAGCAAAAATGAACTTTGGCTTGAGGAAAATAGAATATTTTATATTAGCTTTGGAAGGGGAATTGCAGCTTATAAACTTTGGTATCACACAGTTTTAATATATATTATTATAGTTATATATATATTTATATATATTTTATTTATCATATATATATATTTATATGGCATTACTGCTGCAGCTCTTATCAAACGTTAGACGTGCAGCAGCACCCCTCGGTTGATTCTGCTTTCTGGTCAGCGGAGATCCAGAACCGTGGGTGGTGGGTTCTGGTACGACGCTTCCTCCCCTCATTTATTTCTTTCATAGATCAATTTCTGCTGAAAAAATTAGAAACTCTTCCACGTCTAACGATGAAGAATTATTGACCAATTCGTAGAGCTAAAATTACCCTTATCCCATGCCACATATTAATCGTAACCAAAGTCGAAATGTTTAGTCATGTTTGTTGGTGTGAGATTTCCTGCACCGACCGACCGACCGACCGACCATCAGTGGTTCCTATTCGTATTAGATTACGCACCAAAAAAAAGGAATCACCTACCACGTACACCTTCCCACTACTTTTGATGGCTCGAACCAATGTACCCGGCAATGTTCCGCTCTCAATCAGGGGCAACCCGAGGCATCTAATTAGCTCTTGGCTTATTGGACGGGCACGGAGGTATCAATTTACCAGCGTTCGCATCGGATAACACATGTGCAGGGATAGGATTGGCATTTGGGATTGGCTAGGTACAGGCAAAAAAAAAAAACAGGCACCGCAAGGCACCCCATGTCCTGTGCCACCTTTTTTGCCATATCCAAATTGCTGGAAGGGAAAGGTAGGGGGGGGGGCTAATCTCTGCAACACAGATTAACAGCCGAACAGACACGGAAACCAATTTTGTGTGCCAGTTAGCCCAGAGCAGGCAGGCAGTCAGGCAGGCCAACAGAATGGGCTCTTGGTCAAATGACAGCAGCCAGAAGGCCTAAAATTTACGGCTTTCTGGGTAATTTGACACTTTTGGACAGAATATACGAGTAGTGGCCCCGAAGCGGGGGCCAAACGAGCAGGGACAGAGGCTAAGCGGGCGAGGTCAATGAGGCAGTTGTAGGGCTAGTCGTACGGGTAGTCATTGCATCAGAGAGACCCAGACCCAAATCCAGGATGAGGTTCATTCGTTCAGCAGGAACTCGTACTCGGGCACGGGCACGGGCACGGGGCTCAATCCGGGGTCGAGTCTTGTGGTTACCGAGTGTCAATTGATCACAGACGTCTGCAGTTGTCATTTAATTTTCTGGTCACGCCGTTCGACATTAATGATGGAGGCTGTAGGCGGTTTTTGGAGTGAGATATTTACCACAGTCGTCGAATCGATTAAAGGGGGCTAAGCTGATTAATACGAAACGATTGCGTTTTAGTAGTTACAGTTGCCAGGCAACAAAGTTGCTGAAGGGGAAGGTACTTGCCATATGCACTGTCACTGAAGGAAAGGATTTGCAGTCGTAACCAGTGAAAGTTCTTCTTTCGAAAGAGTTAATGGAAACTGAGGGATAGGTGAGACTTTCAGAACAAGTGGATTTAACTTTAAATGGAATGAATGGCAACTGGATTATAGGAAACTGCTTAAGACTGAATCGTTGGCAAATTATTTTTTTTTTTTTTATGTTGTGTTTAAAAATTTAATAATGATGGAATGAATGGCAACTAAATCGCTTGCAAATTATTTGTTTATGTTATTTTTAAAGTGTTATAGATTTATATCCTTTATGAGACATAGTTGTAGACCCGCCATTAGGTAGAAAAAATCAATCGACGAGTAATTATGTATGGAATGGCACTAAACATATTTTTGCTTGTTGCAACCATTTCATGGTACATTTTTTTCACAGACAATAAGCTTTATTTAAAAAAAAAATAGATACAAAACAAAAGCGAAATTAAAATAAAATAAATTAATTAAAATAAAGACATAACTTAAAATTAAATAAGTGAAATATTTGTATTATTTTATTGGTACTTATTTATTTTTATTTAATTTATTTAATTTTAAGCGGTGTTTTTTTTTTTAATTTATTTATTTATTTGTATTTTTTTATTGGTATTTATTTAATTTCATTTCGTTTATTTAATTTTAAATTATGTATTTATTTTAAATTATTTATTTTATTTTAATTTCTTTTTTTTTGTATCTATTTTAAAGGATCAAAACTAAATGGAAGACATGTATGTTCTTTTAATTGGCTAAAAAAAACAGAAAATACTTCAAATAATAAAATATTATTTCTATGAATATCTCACACACTCATATCTATCGTAAGGTAATGTATGCCAAATTATTTTATTTTTATTTTTTGTATATTTCCAAAATTACATAACTCTAAAAATTTCTTGCTTCAACAATTTGTAAAGTATTTTCTTTGTTGAATATCAATTTGCAATCCAAAATTGTATTTCCCTTATTCGAGTTTTAGTCTAGTTACCCATTCTATTCCTTTTTGTTGTCCTAATTTCCCCAACATACATATTCTGGCTCCTACTGTACTTTATGGACTCGAAAGTAATTCGAAATACATACCCGTACATGTATGTATGTGTGTATTTATTTGCACAAAATGTGGCTGCCCGAGTAGGCGCCCAAATAAAAATGTGAAATTCATTCAGTGATTCCGAGAGGGAGAGAGAGATGACTTATGCATGCCCATGTACTCGTTCGAACACGACAAATAGCAGTTCCAGAAATCGTGTGTGGCATTTTGGCCAGAGACCCAAAAGACTGGCTGACAGACGGACGGCAAAAGACAACAAACGAAACAATCGAAACGAACGAACGAACGAACGGACTCCACACAGACAATATTCATCCATCTGTCATACGGGAGTCATATTCAATCATGTATTCAATGCAATGGCAATGCAATGCAATGGCAATGGCGATGGCGATGGGCCGGCAAGCGAGCGAGTTTATATTTAAATAAAAGACCAATGTTTACACACCCATACCATGCACCCCAATATCCCAAAAAAAAAAAAAAATAAAAGCAAAGAAAAACTCAGCAAAGACCAAGGAAAAAAAAAACTTGTTAAATATTTGCATTTTCTCTGGGCTCTGGCTATGGCCTGGCCTGGCCTGGCCGCTGTGTGTTGTGTTGTTGTGTGTGTGTGTGTTTGTTTGCGTCAATGTTGCCTCTTCAATCAATAAAATGTCAGAAATGCATTGCGCAGACATAGCAAACCAGAATCTGTATCTGAATCTGAATCAGAGTCTGTAGTCAGTAGTCGGCAGTCGGAAATGTAGAGAACAGAGACGAGTCCCGAGACATTGAATGACTGACTGACTGGCTGGACTGACTGGCTGGATGACTGACTGGCTGGCTGGCTGGCTGGCTGCCTTTGGTTTGGGTTGGTTGATTTTCTAGGCATGACTGATATATGGCTTGTATTGACATGGACACAGTTCTTGACTTTCATTTTAGTTTGAGAATGGCAACCAGCAGCAGCAGCAGCAGCAGCATGCATGTGTCAATATGTCAGTCAGTCAGTCAATCGGTGTTTGCATAAGTCTCTTTTTCTCTCTCTCCTTGGATCTCTCTGGTGCCTGTTGCCTGCTGGCTGCTTACTGCTTACTGCCTGATCGGGCCCCGTGAAAGAGTGACTGATTTACATAACCTACCGACAAAGGCAAAGGCTCTCGCTCTCCTCCTATTCCCCTTATGTACATAAATACGGAATACACGTATGGCGCCGTCTGAATTTTGATTTGATTTTGGAAATCTCCAACGCAGCGCAAATATGAATATAAAATAATAAATATAAAAAAAGGGCTTACCCTCCTCCTCCACCACCACCTCCGCAGGGGACAAAAATTCAAATCACATTTCATTTTTGGCATCTGATAAAGCCGGAATTTATTGCCGCTGCCCGATTACAACCAATTTACGATTTAAGGCATTTGCCCATAACATTTCTCAAATTGTAAAACATTCGTTTTGTTGTTGTTGTTTTGTTTTTTATGCATACTGCAAAAGTTCCGCATTTAATGACCCATAAAATTTTTTTTGTTTGTGTTCTGCATACATAATTCTAGAATTTTCTACCATTTTTGGATGTGTGGGCCAACAGGCAGCAAGGCAAAATAACGCTTAAAAAATAGCCAAAAAAAATTTTAATAATTGATTTTTTAACGACTGCCATAAAAATGGTTAAATATTGTGCTAATTGACAGACATCCGGTAGGCAATTAAATGTGTTAACAGCTTGATTAAAAAATCCAAATTCAATCAAAGAAAAAACTAGAAACGAAGGTTAGCGATGGGTAAACGAATTTATGAATACCCTAGCAGATACAAAAGTTATTTTAGAAGCTTTAAACGAAAGGGATTACATCAGCGATAGCTACAAAAGATTATTCCAAAAAGAGGAAATAAAAGTATAATAAATAATAATAATAAAATAAATACTATTAATTAAATTTATATAATTATAATAAAATAATAATTATTATTATTTTAATAAAAAATAATATTAATCAAATTTATAATAGTAATAAAAGAATTATTATTATTATAATAATAAATAAGTTAAAACAATTATTATTCTTATTATAATAATAAAATAAATAATAATTATTGCCATTGTAATAATAAAATAAATAATAATTATTATTATTATAATAATAAAAAAATTAATAAAAGTTATTATTATAATTATTGTAATTTATGAATTTAAAACCAAACTATTACTTTGGTTTTATATTTCAAGCTATAAGCAACAATTTGTCCAATAAATCATTCTCCAATATATTTCACCCACTACAGTATTTCGACAAGGGATAATCCTTGTGGCCCTGCCACATATCATGATTTTTCTACGTATAAATTTACGCCCGCCCACCCAGCTTAAGTGACCAAAAAATAAATAAAAGAAAAAGAAAAGCCATAAGAAAAGATGAAAATACAATTGAAGAAGGTTGAAGGCAAGGCATTTAAATAAAATCGTTGACAGTTGCGTTCCACACACAAAAGGCGATGATTGGCAGGTTTTTGGCATTCCCATGTTTGTTTGTGTTTTTTTTTTTTTTGTTCTGTGTGGGGTACTTGCTTAGCCGTTTTAAGTCCCGGATTTGTGTTTTGCATTTGTTGGGCATTATATTGATCCTACTCAGAGATACATACATACATGAGCAGCTAACTGTAGGATAAAGATTGTGTTTGCATAAGAACTTTTTTGTGTATGCTGTGCCAGGGGGTTGCTCGCTTGCTGACTGTCTGTGCAGATTTGTGAACCTTTTCATCAGCGGCTCACACATGTCAACTGTCGCACATAAATCGAATCTTTATAAGCATTTAATTGGCTGTCTGTTGGCCCGGAAACACGGAACCGGTTCGACCAACCAAAAAGGCATTATTTTCTATACACTTACAGAGGGTATTATAATTATTGGTTGATTGTGCTGCAAAAGGCAGCAACCATCGTAGCAGATAAAAAGTGCATCCCCAGCCATCGGTCCTTGGAACTATCCTTAGTTTTTGTATATTATTGTTTTCGTTTTCTATTTATTTTGAGTTTCCAATTTTTGTTATGTTTTCATTACGAAGTACTGTCCGTGCCTCATCCTAAAAAAACACACTAAAACTGGGTGCCTGCCTGCTGCCAACATCCCTTAAACCACCCAGAAAAACGAGTGAGAAACCGCAGAGAATACGAATACTCTTGCCCCCCTGTGTTTGGATAAAACACATGCTGCTGCTGCTGTTGCTGCTGCTGCTGCTGCTGCCTTCTTGTTATTCCTGCATTTAAGTACTTTTGTGTGGGAATCTGTTGTCATTGTTTATTTTGACCGAAAACGAGCAGCTTCTTCCAACGATAAATACGAGTACTCGTAGCCTATCATCCTCCACCCCATTAAACCATCATTCAATCTGTCGTCTCATCTACTCATTCATTCATTCATTCATACATTTATTTGTGTTTTTTTTTTTCTAGACTCTTCTATTTGCGGTTGACATATGCGAGCATTTTGTTGCTGCCTTTCAAATATTTTCCTTTACAAACAAATATTTCTTCTTGTGGTTTTTGGGCCTGCAGCGGAAGCTATAAATTCTAAACAAGTTATAGGGCCCTGCTTACATCTTTCTGCTTCATTCATATTAAGCTATAATATCGGGCTGTGATTTCCACGAACAACTAAACTGAATGCCCAACCAAACTTGGAATTCATTCACAAAAATTATAACTCTTTTTGTATATTTTTTGTTTTGTTTCTCGGAACTCGTGAAACGTGTAGCTCAATCTCTCTCTCTCTTTTTTTATATATTTTTATTTTTCTATTTTCAAGGCACGTTCTGGTCGGTAAAAGTTGCCCTTTTCTTTTCAGTGCTTGTTTATATGGTCTTTCGGCGAAATTTTCTAATTTAGAGGAAGGCAAACAATTTCAAGTAGTTCTTGTTTTCCACATTTATCTGTTATCGAAATCATTGTCACGTTCGATTTGCTCAGAGTCTCTTTTTGGTAAGCAAAACACAGAGGAAAAATTCACTTTATTGGGGATATATTCCTTTAAACTCGAGCAGACACACATATAAAATTGTAAGGATTTGTGCCTGGGCCTGCCATGGATCTGCAGTTCACTTTAGATTTTTGCATGCTCTATTTTTCTGTTTATTAAATATACATTCTCAGATGACCATTACTGGTAGTACACATAGCGCCCTCGCTTAACACGAACTCGGTATTACGGTGTTATCATTTAACTTGCTTCCTCCTTTGAGCACGGTGGAAACTCCATTGCCATTAATGAATTTAACTTGTCTTCTAAGAGCTCAACTGTCTTTCTGGCATCAGTGATAATTTCCATGGTTTGCTGTTGCACCTTCACAATGATTTCATCCTTGTGAACAATTGTGGCTTTCATTTCTACATTTTCCTTTGCAATATTCAACTCATTGATGGCACTTTGCAGTGCAGAATTCAAGCCGCAAGTGCTCTGCTGCTCCGTCAGCTGTTTATTTAATGAATTCAGCATATCCGCTTGGCTCTTCCCATTGATAATTTCGAGCTGCTGTTCCAGGACTCGCTCCTGTAGTTGTGTGATTTGTAGATCCTTCTGTTGGCACACTGCCAAATACCGCAGCAGGGGCTTGACAATGGGATAGCAAACGGAACCACATTCTTCTTCGAGCTCACTTGAAACGACACAAAACTACAGCACACAAAATATTATGGCAGAAAGTCTGGCAGAAACAAAATTATATTAATCGCACCTCTGGGTTATCGGCTAGCCGGTTGCCGTGGCCCAACAAAATATAAGCAAAAATCAACAACAATATTACGCGTATGCTCGACATTTTCTAGGAATATCGCTTGACTCTCTGCGAATGCAAAGGAATTGCCACTGATTTCGTCTTGACTTGGAAGCTGCTATAAAGTCTATCTGCCATATTCTATGAGTTCTTATCAGAATTCTTCTATCAGCATTATTTAGATGAGAGCCACGACTGTGCCTGGGAATGATCAGTGATTGGAGGCAGCAGCAGCTGATCGTGAGGCATTATCAGAGACAGAGAGAGACAGAGAGAGAGAGAGAGAGAGAGTAGAGTAGAGTGTCAGATCGAGATAACTACTTGAAATTTCACCTTTTGTCTTGCATTATATTCAATTACTTGCGGGTTTCCTTTTTTACGACTTAAGGAAATTATGTATCGGGCACTCAGGGCACTCAAACACCCGAAATAAAATCCCAGAAAGATACAAAAAAAAGACATTTCGGTGTTACACTTGAAATTTATGACATCCTCTGTGCTGGTTGCCTGGGTGCCTGGGTGCCTGCCCGGCCTGCCTCGTGCATTGTCTTAATGATTAGCCTTTGTCCTTCAGAGCTCCCTGTAGCGAGTGAAAGAGCTCTACTTTCACCCTCCGAACCCACGAGACAGACAGACAGACACACAGACAGACACACTCACGTCTTTGGGTTGTGTGTTAAGATGTGTATCGCTCGGTGGAACGCACAGGGCAGGACAGGACAGAACAGAACAGAGAAATATCAATTTCTAGCATTTCCAGTATCTGTCTGGCATGGCCATTGAAAGTGTTAATTGAACCATAAGCGTAACCATAAATGGATTTTATTTCCTTGGGCCCCAGAGAGAGAGAGACAGAGGGAGATTCAGATTCTAGAAAAACCAAAATTTATGTGCCTCATCCTTCGCGCTCTCTCGCTTCTCTGCCTGACAATCGTTTTATGGCTCTTGCCCATCTACTCTTGCTCCTGCCATTGTCCTCCATTGTCTCTCATTTCGAAGGGTTCTTTCTTTCCTTTTTTTTTTTTTTTTTTTGCTCGGGTGTTTGCGTCTTAGCGACAGGGTTTGCGTGTCCTTGCCACTAAAGACAGCAGGATCTGGTTTTTGCTTATGCAATTTGTTGCAGTTTTCTCTTCCTATTGTTTGTGCAGCGCAACCAGCGAGAGATCCGTTCCTGTGAGCTCTGTTAAACGGTAGCTGGATATACGTCCTTACGTTTGTCTGTAAAGATTTATGGAGAACCTTACATAACCTTCCTCTGAGGTGAGATTTGTTGTTGCTGCTGATGATGATGATGGGCTGTGTGTGCTACTGTAAATCTCTGCTCTGCCATTCTATAGGAATTTGGTGGCTACAAAATTTATGATCTAGGATTTCGTTGGGATATCCATACGTAGGTGAAAGCATCTGTTGATGTTGCTGGCCCCTCAAAAACGGTTTGTTAATCTGCGCTTTTGTTTGGTTTTTACATTTAGAAATGCGTCTTCTGTGGAAAAGGTTTAAGTGAAATTTAATTCATTGCAGGAGATGGTTGGTGAAATATTTCGGGGGGGAGGGGGAAAGAGCCAGGAGAACTACCTTTATATATATCTCACATTAAACTATCAGAAAGAAATAAAAACAGAAGTATTATCGAGTGAATTCTTCTTAGTTTGAGGATTTGAAATAAAATAAAATAATAATAATAATAATAAAATAAAACATACATTTTTTTCCGAAGTTTATTTAGACTAGAACTGGCTCACATTTAAAGTCATACCAAAGATCTATCCCTGAGATGATCGTTTATAGTAAACAACCCTAAGCCCGAAACTGCAGAGATCTTCACTCAACTTATGGCCACCAATAATTCATTCCCAGAAACCGCTTTTCATATGGCGTTTAGGCCAGACAGCCCAAGAGCATAATCACAACATCATCATAACCTTAACGCTATAAACCTGATGGATGGGTTGCCCTTGAGACGCGCCCACCATCGTCTCCTTCGTCGGCTTTCCTTCGCCTTTCATTTGCAGTTGAGTATTTATCCTCCGCCTCCACCTTCGCCATTGCCATGGGCACCGCCAACGCCCCAAATGAGTGAAACCGCATCGCATCGCATCTCACGAGACACGACACGACACAAATGCCCCCCCGTATAATCACTTGTCGAATGCTGCTCAATAATTATAAGAGAAGGCCCAAGAAGTGGGCCGTACCTTTGGCATTTCGCATGCAGAGCGTAGCTATTAGGGCGCTGATTTCGGTTGAAACCTATCAAAATACATAACAATCAGTGGGCTGGGCTGGAACTGGGGGATGGGACTGGAACTGGGGCTGGTCGACGATGATGATGATTTTAGGCAGAGATCCACAGGCACAGCCGCCGACACAGAGATACCCGTCGTACCCGTCGTACCCATCGTACCCGCCGCAGCCATAACAGCCGACAGCTACGTAATTATATCGAGCAAACATAAAAGAAGGCGATGCGATGCGACCAGTTTTAGGCTTGGGTCCCGCACAAAATCCCCGGCGACTGCAGAGACTCCAAAACCCCTCCTGCTGCTGCTGCTGCTGCTGCTGCCTGGCAGAGGCGTTGCCAAGACGCATAACAATGAAAACGTTTAAGCCGACTAACGAGCGAACCGAACGGTGTGCTGTAATCTTTTCTACCGATGAATCTTTATTTTATTTTTTTTTTTCCTGGTGCCTCCCTTTTTTTTCTTCCATATTTTATTTCGGTCTGGCGACTGTGGGAGGCGCCTTGAATGAAGTTTAACAAATTAATATTAAATTACGTGCCAAATTGGCAGACAACGAAACGAGACTTGAGTTGAGTTGAGTTGAGTCCCTTCGAGACCACATCAAAGGCAACGGCTGCCACTGGATTTCTATGCAAAAGATTTGTTTTCGTGCATCAGAATTGAGAGCTACATATACATACATATATGCCCCATATGCCATGGCAACGGAAGTGAAAATTAGATATCCGAGGGTTCTTTTGAGGGGTTAACCGTTTTAGGTTTTTTTTTTTATATATATTTTTTTTTTGTACTGTCTCGTGTATATAAATCGCTCCATTGGCGCCGCATAGTCATCAGCGATTTAGCACACGTTTTTCTTATTTCTGACGCTCCTGCAGCTTGCTGGCTCGCCGCCTTTCACTACAAATTGTTATTCATTTCTTTTTGTTTTGGTTTAATGGCATCCTTTTTAGGGTTTTATGGTCTTTAGTCTGTTGGTTCCCCTCACATAACGGACTGTGGATTGTGTGGCTGCGTGCACTTTGAAATTGATTAAAGTGAAAGGCAAAGGGTATCCGCTTTTTGTTTTTTCTGTGGATCCGCTTCTTAATAGCAGGAGGCGCTTAAGGCGATTTTTTGCAATTAGCTGTCATTCATCAGAAATGTGACAACATAATTGGCAGCTCAAAATGAAGGACAGACTTAACTGCAAGAAAACTATTGCTTAGAGGTCTCTTTTTGGATACACTTGGGGAAAAGCTAGAGCGGGTTTGTGGAGAGATCCAAGAAGGGTGACAAAAAATATGGGTTTGAACATTTAACATTAAATGTAACATTAGATTTTGGTTTCCTATTGCTTAAATAATCCTAAATAACCATCTATGTTTAAGCCTAATAACTTCTATAACACTCAGAAAAATTGGCATAGTAAAAATAAAACCCACAAAATTTTAAATTTAATATGCCTCTGTTAGGTATAAAAATAATTAAATTAAATATAATTATATTTGATTTAAATATAAATGCATTAAAAAAAGTATTTTAATTTAAATAACCTAAACACTGTAAAATATTAAATTTAAAAATAATATGCATTAAAAAAGTATTGCCCAATTTAATTTAAATATAAAACACTGTAAAATTTAAATTTATATATGATATGCATTAAAAAAGCTTTTTAACACATCCCAAATTTAATTTAAATATAAAACAGTGTAAAATATTAAATTTAAATATGAAATGCATTAAAAATGTCTTTAATACAGCGCAAATTTAATTTAAATATATATCACTGTATAATATTTAATTTAAATATGAAATGCATTAAAGAAAGTCTCTTTAATACAGCCCAAATTTAATTTAAATATAAAACACTGTCAAATATTAAATTGAAATATGAAAAATAGTTTAAACTCAAAACTATCTATTTTTAATATGAAATACGTATATTTAAATCAATTAATGTCAAAATTGTTATAAAACCTTTTTGTTTTGTTTTTTTTTTTTACATTTTTCACTCTTAGAGAAAATCTATTTGGTATAAATATGGAAATCCAAGTATAAATAATAAAATTCAAGACGTTTTTTCTCTGAGTGTCAGTATGATTTATTTTATTACTTTTCCTTTTTCACGACCAGTCAATATTTCTATCGCATATGGTCACGTACAGTCCCGCAGTAAATCCACACAGCCACAGACCATGCCCCAGCCCCATCCACAGCCCCCATGTCTCTGTGGTGGTTGGGTACGTGTAGTAGTTGTGTGCTGTGAAGTTAATAAAATCTAATATGCTTAGCCACAAAATGGTTGTTTTGGGTCTTGTAATTATGCACCTTAATTTCCACCACCCCCCCTGCGCAACGCTTAACTAATTATATATGCAGCTGGTGTTGGCAAAAGCGAAGGGGGGGTTGGGGTTGGGGTTGGGGGTGGAAGGATTACTGTAGAGATTGGAGGTCTCTTTGTCTCTCTCTCGTTACCTGCCACAACAGCTACTTATGGAAATTGCTGTGCAGCACCGAGACTATGGAAATTTTCATTTTATTGGCGCCCCCAAGCGTCGTACTTACCTCATCCAAGACAGAAACACAGTCGGGCATACACAAAATCCTATAAGTAATTGTCAACGTACTTTGGCGCCTCCATCGCCACTCCAACTGCACCTCCTACTCTCTCTCTCTCTCTCTCTATGTCTTGGCAGCTCTCTAACCATTTGTATTTATATTAATTAAGCGTCGTTGAGTTGTCTTCCTGTTGCTGTGGCTTTCCCCAACCCAACCCGAACCCAACCCAAGAAGCAGAACTCCAACCCCAATACCAATCCCCATCGACAATGTTGTTATCTGTTCAGCTGTCGTCGTCGTTGCTGCCGTCGTCGTTGTTGCTGCGTCGTG